AAAATGATTACTGATGTGATGAAAGGCAATCACACATTTACCAGAATAGGAACTTCAGGAAACTACTAAAACATTGCTGAGAGGCTGAGGTAGGGCCTGGTTTATCTTGTATGACATGCTACCAATTTTAACAGTAACTCAAAAAGGTCATCTTTGATATATTCCATATTCGCTGCATGTGAAGTAAAACATGTCAAGTTTTTTGTTGGAATTTTGATTATTTTCGCTTATAGCTTATGAAAGTCAGAATTTCTGTTTTGTTTTTGAAAATAGAAGAATATTTCATTTCAAATGTTTCTAAACTCCTATACAAACAGTATAAAGACCATGTATCTCTTGGTCTAGCTCAGTACATGTAACCACAATCATGGGAGAGACTGCTGACTGGAAAGCTGTCCAGAAGATGAGCATCAACACCCTCCACAAGGAGAACTGACCCCAGAAGTTAATTGCTGAAAAGGCAATTAACTGTTCCAAAGCATGTTCACGGAAAGTTGACTGAAACAACTGTAACTCTGTACTCTCGTGATGGATGGTCAGATTTGACCACACGAAGAAAGAAACACTGGCCTGTTAGAATTTATAAATGTATTTTAGGCTTGCTTCCTTGTTAATGACAGGTTTTTATTTGTACAAAACCTGCAAGTAGTTACAGTCTGCAGTCCCAGGATCTATTGTTACTGTCTGCTCTCAAGGTTAGAACAGAACAGGGAAAGAAAGCTTAAATTCACTGCTCCCTTTACCTGGAACACATTGCAAAAAGACCTAAAACTTTTGGTCTCTTTACACACTTTTAAAGTGTTCCCAAACGACTTGGAGGCAGAAACATCAACCTGTAGATGCTTTGACAGATGATTATTTTGTCAGTTATGTTTCTGATCTCTGCTGATATGTTGACTTTTTATCTTCGGAATTTAATATATTATGAGTATGATGTTTGTGTGGATGTTGTTGGGGCCTTGTCTGTCTGTCAATTGTGCTACTGCCTGTCGTGGCCAGGACACTCCTAAGAAAGAGATTTTTAATCTCAATGAGCCATTTCCTGGACAAATAAAGTTAAATAAAAATAAATAAAAAGGGAAAGTGTGGATAGAAAAGCATGACTGCAGCCTTGAGAGGACTGTCAAAAAAAAGGTGATTCAGGAACTTGGGAGAGGTTCACAAGATGTGACCTGGTGGTGGTGGTGTGCAATAACAGTCACTGAGCACAGGGGTCTTCAGGAAAGGAGCTAAACTGTCGTATTTCTGACATCAAACCACTCCTGAACCAGACACAATGTCGTGGCACAGTTGTGTCACTGCCACCATCAGGAAAAAAAATCACCTGCTGCT